CCACCCCTGTTTAGTTTTGTTTCATAATCACCCGGGGCTTCAAAACCACCTCTAGCTTCTTAGCCCCTCAACAACCCTTATCCTGAAGTTTGTGTCCTCTCCTAAGGATTCCAGGTCTTTGGTTAAGGAATTGTCTAGGGTTCCTGTCCTTGGAGAGTTTCCAGCCTTGGCTATGGAGTGGCAAACATGATCTTGTGTTTACACAAAACCCTGCCGAAAGCAGGGGGTACTTTTTCCTGTTGTCTGCAGGCCTAGGCTGGAACGATCGTCTTTCCATCTTGCTGTGTCTTTGCTCCTGGGCCGGGGCTTGTCCTTGATCAGCCTGGAAATTGAGGCAAAGGGTTCCAGGCCACTCCACTAAGATCTCTTACCAGCTACGGGGAGGAGACACAGAAGCCTCGGAGGGTCTAAGATGGGAAAGGCCAATCTCGACATCCCTGGAAGCCTGACTCAAGAATCACTGCGGGGATTGACCCGAGGCAACTCTGTTCTGCACTGGACTGGAACTTTTGTTAACTACGAGTATCGGGGGTTTGTCTGGACTTGTTTCCATCCATTTTAGGATGAAATTTCTAAAATTTCCCAGAAGAGCCACTGAGTCCAAGCATGTCTCTTTTGGGGAAACGTCTTCCCAAGAGTTCCAGACCTGAGATTTCATCAAATTCCCTCTACAGACTGGAAATCTCCAGTTTCAGGTGAGTCTTCCCAGGGACACCAGCAACGTGCCCATCACCACGTCTCCACAGGATTGGGGCTACACCCAGCACCCGCGCCGCCGCTTTGTATAAGCAGAGGCTCAGGCTTTGCGTTTTATATCCAATACGAGAAACTGTGAGCTAATGCTCAAGAGATGTGCCAATTCCACAAAAACCTTATGGTGCATTGATTTCATGCCAAGAAAACGGCCCAAGGAAGCTGCCATTGCTCAAATCTCTCCTTCAACTCCTCTTCAGGGGAAGTGGAAAAGCCAGCTGATAGAGAAGTCACACCAACACAGCGATTTCCCTGCCTCCTAGACACATATTAATTCTGATTTTTAAAACTGGAACCCTTAGAACGGCGCTGTGTTTGGCTTTGTGTGACATTCAATTCTTCCTTTAACTGAATGTGCTTATGCAGAATAAGG